TAAATAAGTGTATGCACTAGAAGACGGTGAAATAAATCATGGACATTATGTAGTCTTGCAGGCAGGGAATGACTTTTCAGAGAACTGAGCTGTCTCTGTCTGCAAGGGTGATGTGTAGGGTGAGAATTTGATTTGTTATAGAGGCAAGTTGGTAGCAGTGTGGTCACTCAGTCCCATGGGAGAAGGCAAAGGAATGGAGCCCTATCCAGGCTCATGGCAAATCTGAGTAGGAGAATAGCCCTTTTGAGGACCATATTGTGTTTTTCTTACCTTTTGCAAGAGTTGAAGCTTTGACAGCAAATAAATGTGCTGAAATCTCAGAAGTTCAGCCATGTCACAAATAAGTTGAAAACCAGTCTTTTAGACTGCTGTGTCAGCATCATCGGGTCCTACCTTACATTTGTCATGCTACCAAGATCAGTAATTGTTGATATTTCAGGTGACAGCAGATGGGAGCATCGACTGCCAGGAAAATCCTGGTGAACAGGAATCAGTAGTATCACCTCTTCACTACTGCGAAGTTGTGTCTGCACTGCACATACTCACTAAAGGCAAGCTACAGGTTTTTTTGGACTGATGCCATGTATACTGAAATGCTGTAACAGCTTCAACATATGGTGTGACAAACCACAAAAAGACTAATTACACAAGTTCCATGGGTGTTTCTACATGCCCACATTTTGTGTATAGGCTTGTGTTGAAGATGATGGTATGATACAGCGTGCGGCAGCATAATTTGCTGATTTGAATTTGGCGCCAGGAAGCGAGGTTTGGCTGTTAGAGGGTGCGGGTGGTCTCATTTGAATGGGTGGGTTTGGAAGTTTGTTCTTCCTTCCACTTTAGTACCGAGAATGCGTTGGCTGAAGGAACAGTGCACACTTGCCACAGAGGCTTACTTTTCTAACGGTCGCTTGATCGTCACCACGCAGCGAGCATTCCGCGCGCACTTCGCTATTTCCACCTGAGCTCGTGTTCCTGGTCGGCAATCACTTGTTACATGGGCAAACACATTCAGGAGAACCGGCAGTGTGGAAAAGAGAAGATCAGAGGAATGGCCCATCAGATCACCCCAAAACATCGAGGCGGTAAGGCAGTCTTTTTTGCGATCTCCTTGGTGCTCGGCATGCAAGCATGCAGCTGCCCTTGGAATGTCTGATCGTTCTGTGAGGCGAATTCTTCATGATGACCTCCACTTTCATCCTTACAAGTTGGCTGTGGTGCAAGAACTCACTGAACATGATTTTGCTGCTCGGCAACATGCATGTGAAGCGTTCCTTGAAACTTTGCCTGATGATACGCTTGTGTTCTTTAGTGACGAGGCTCATTTCCATCTTTTTTGGATGTGTGAACAAGCAAAACATGTGCTACTGGAGTGATAACAATCCCCGAGAACTTCATGAGAGGCCCCTTCATTGTGAACGTGTAACTGTTGGGTGTGCACTGTCAAGAGTAGGGATTATTGGTCCCTACTTTTTTGAAGAGAATGAGGTTGCAGTTACAGTGAATTCTGTTCGCTATGTGAAAATGATCGAAGAATTTTTTTTGCCAAGTCTTGACGAAATGGATGTTGGGGACGTGTGGTTTCAGCAGGATGGAGCCACGGCACACACGGCGTGAACTGCAATGCGTGTTTTGCGGGAACATTTCCTGGATGCCCGATTTCTTTGAGGGGCGATCTTCAGTGGCCCGGCCCGGTCACCCCATATAGCCCCTTGTGACTATTTCTTATGGGGGTATCTGAAATCCCTCGTGTACAACGATCGCCCAAGGACCCTTGCTCAACTGAAGGAGAATATTCGCCAAGCCATAGGCAACATACACATCGCTATGCTGGAAAGAGTTGACCGACACTTCAGAATTCAGGCAAATCAGTGTATCGCCAATGGGAGGCACCACTTGTAGGATACAATTTTTAAAACAGAGTAAACGTAAATTTCCAATGTTGTAGAATATGGAGAAAAAATAATTACAACGATTCCTATAACATCTTTTGTTTTATTGACCCTTCAAATCAGCAAATTATGCTGCGACACTCTGTATAATTGTGACGTCACTGATTAGGGATAAGGTTTTGCTCTGTTTTCTGAGGTGACAAGTTGGGTATGGAATTTAACCTCTGCCTGGCATGTGTCTTATTGTGACATGTATATGGTTCACCTGGTCAAGTGTTGCATTACTTCAATAGGGCTACTAACGCCATTATCCCTAAGTTAAAATATATCACTGAACATCACATTCAGATGGGTATCTCTCCTCCTCTGTATTTAGAAGGCTCTGGTTCAAGTTCTGGCCCCAAGACCAGCTATCGTGACTGAAGATTTGGTGTTTTCAGTCTCTCCATGCAAATACCATGGTAATACCTCAGATGATGCTGTAACTGCTTCCCTCTGCATCCTTTTGAATTCACAAATCACTCACCCTACCATTTGATGCCACAAAGTCCCTATGCAGCATTTCAGAAAATCACTCAATAGGGCCATATTTTTTTTTATACAAGTGTTAGTCACACTGCTTATTTGCACATTCTTCAGACATGGTTTGTTGCACAGCTGTGTGAGAGGGGTCTGCAGGCAACAGTTTTCCTGCAACAAGATGGTGCACCTGCACATTATGCCCTCTGAGTTAGAGAATATCTTGACACATTCAGTTCATGATGGATTGGATGTAGAGCTGATACAGTATTGCCTCCTGGAGTCCAGGCTTAACATTTTGTGACAATTCACTTTGGGACATTGTGAAAGAGACATTTTCCCAGCTCTGTCTAACAGCAGTTTAACACCTAAAAAGAGCTATCAGGGACTGCTTTAATGACTTCAAACCATCAACATGGAAGATGTCCAGAAGAACATGGGAAAAAATTAAACTCTATGTGGAGAATGGATGGGAGCATACAGATAACTTCTAACAAACATACATACAGACTCTGTGGCCACTCTGTATAGCTAATGTATTTAAAAATGTAACTTTTCAGTTTTCATTTCCTTACTGTAGACCTAATAGAGAACATTCACAGCTGTTATGAAATTTACTTTGTACTCTTGCCAGTATGTACAATAGTTGCAGCTACCACAGTAATGAGCAAGCAGTGTGGTACAAGTTTTTATATGTTATTTGAATCTTTATTCCATCTTTTGTTTTAATTACATGAGTGAACTTCTGTGAAGCAATTTCATTGTTAATGTAGCAGGTATATATTTTGATACTGATGTTCTGGATGAAGGGTGGGTATTTTTGGTCACAGCTTATAGATATTAATTTTAAGGAGTTTGGTGTGACAAAATTGATTAAAAGTAGACCACAGAGAAGTGAACTGTGCTGTGTATTTCAAGTGGTGGTTTCTTATTGAAGATGTTCAGAGATTACTGTGTGTTTAAGGTAGCAGTTCTTGTTGAAGATGTTCAGAGATTGTGCTTGTGTTTCAGGTGGCAGTTTCTTACTGAAGATGTTGAGACATTACTGTGTGTTTAAGGTAGCAGTTCTTGTTGAAGATGTTCAGAGATTGTGCTTGTGTTTCAGGTGGCAGTTTCTTACTGAAGATGTTGAGACATTACTGTGTGTTTAAGGTAGCAGTTCTTGTTGAAGATGTTCAGAGATTGTGCTTGTGTTTCAGGTGGCAGTTTCTTACTGAAGATGTTGAGACATTACTGTGTGTTTAAGGTAGCAGTTCTTGTTGAAGATGTTCAGAGATTGTGCTTGTGTTTCAGGTGGCAGTTTCTTACTGAAGATGTTGAGACATTACTGTGTGTTTAAGGTAGCAGTTCTTGTTGAAGATGTTCAGAGATTGTGCTTGTGTTTCAGGTGGCAGTTTCTTACTGAAGATGTTGAGACATTACTGTGTGTTTAAGGTAGCAGTTCTTGTTGAAGATGTTCAGAGATTGTGCTTGTGTTTCAGGTGGCAGTTTCTTACTGAAGATGTTGAGACATTACTGTGTGTTTAAGGTAGCAGTTCTTGTTGAAGATGTTCAGAGATTGTGCTTGTGTTTCAGGTGGCAGTTTCTTACTGAAGATGTTGAGACATTACTGTGTGTTTAAGGTAGCAGTTCTTGTTGAAGATGTTCAGAGATTGTGCTTGTGTTTCAGGTGGCAGTTTCTTACTGAAGATGTTGAGACATTACTGTGTGTTTAAGGTAGCAGTTCTTGTTGAAGATGTTCAGAGATTGTGCTTGTGTTTCAGGTGGCAGTTTCTTACTGAAGATGTTGAGACATTACTGTGTGTTTAAGGTAGCAGTTCTTGTTGAAGATGTTCAGAGATTGTGCTTGTGTTTCAGGTGGCAGTTTCTTACTGAAGATGTTGAGACATTACTGTGTGTTTAAGGTAGCAGTTCTTGTTGAAGATGTTCAGAGATTGTGCTTGTGTTTCAGGTGGCAGTTTCTTACTGAAGATGTTCAGAGATTGTGCTTGTGTTTCAGGTGGCAGTTTCTTACTGAAGATGTTCACAATGTATGAGCAAGATACCATGTGCCTTATGTTCCTGCTATGCTCTTCATTCAGGAGTGTGCAGGTGTGCAAACCAGCGACCAGCAAGGAAGGGAATTCAGAAGTGTATGTTGTATGTCTCGAATACAAGGGCAGGGACTTCATGGAGCCCTGGCTTGAAGTGCTGAGGGAACATTATGGTGAGAAGACTGTTCAAACTGCTTTTTTTTTTTTTTCTTTTAAATTCAGATGCTTATCTTCATATATTTAGAGTTTAAAAGGATTTATTGTTTTGTTGTGTGTTTTTTTTATTTATTTTTATTTAGTTGTATTTTCAGTATGTAGAGTTACATCAGTGAAATCAGTCAAAAGAACTGTTGCGTGTGACCAGAGATAGTTTCTTATAAGAACCAACTTTCCCTGCTGCATCTAGAAAGTGTTGTATAAAACTAGGAAGAGGTTTATAAAAGATATTCACTTATTCTCAGTAACAGATGTTTTCCTGAATCAAGCCAGTGTCATCTGTAAAGTTAGTTGGTGGTGCTTGAGGATGGGTTTCTTGCTATGGGAACTTTCCTGGACGTGTAGGGTGCATTCAGTAGTACCACCCTTGAGGCCATATGCAGGGCAGCCACAGAGCATGGAGTATTGATTCAGTAGTAGGCAGATTTATACCACACAAGTGGGCTGCATGATGAGGGTGTATGCAGGGAGGAGTCTTGCCCCCTGTTGTGGAGCTTTGTAGCTGGTGAAATCCTTGTGAGATACAATAGAGAAGGTCTATATGCATGAAGCTTCACAGATTACTTGACCTTGTTGATAATGGGAAAAGTTCCCCAAGTAGTGTCTCAGAGCTCATGCAAAGGGCTTCATATTTGGTATGAAGACTGTGCAGGTCAGGGAAGTCTCTGTCAATCCCGTTAAGATGGAACTTGCACTCTTGACTGAAAAAGAAGATAGCAAGATTCATGGAACCCACTTTACTCAACAGCACCACATTTTCTTAGTTGGTGAAGTATCTAGGGCTTACCCTGGTTCCACAGCATATTTATGTATTCTGTACAGTTCTCACAGTAAACAGTGATTATTTTTCAACTCAGCATTAACTGGTTAGTTTTTGTAATAGAGATGCCATGTGCTTTCTTTGGGATCAGAACCAAAGTTTTATTTGTTCTTTCCATGACCTTTGGAGAAAACTGCATAATGAGGAGCTTCATAACTTGTACTCTTCTCCAAGTATCATTAGAATGATCAAGTCAAGGAGGGTGAGATGGGCAGGGCATGTAACATGAATGGGAAGAAAATGAATACATATAGGTTATTGATAGGAAAGCCAGAAGGAAAGAAACCACTGGGAAGACCAAGATATAGGTGGGTGGACAATAATAAAATGGATTATAGAGAGATAGGATGGGATGGTAGGAATGGATTTATCTGGCTCAGGATAGGGGCAAGTGGAGGGCTCTTGTGAACATGGTAATGAACGTAAGATTTGAGGCTTTGGGATTCATAAAATTCTGCGAAATTCTTGAAGCTGAACAATTGGCAGCTTCTTAAAAAGGGCTCAGCTGCATGAGTGAATGAGTGAGTGAGTGAGTGAGTGTTTGCACGACCTCTTTTTTTGTCAGCTTTTAATATCTCTTTTTACTAATGAACCGCAGAAATCCGGCGTGTGAGTGTTTGCTGCATAGGAAAAACATGATGAAGAAGCAGTCAATAAATGTGTCAAGGTGAGCATGGTATGATGTGTATTTCCTGATCATGCAAATAAATAGCATTGTTTGTATAGGTCCCAGTATACCAGACAAAGCAATGTTCCCTCAGGAAAGCATTCCACAGGATTTTTTGGATCAGTTGTATGAGTGTGCAACCATGTTCAAAAATTTACAGGTGAGCTCATATGTTATTTCAAATATACACAGTTTATTTTATTTTTTTTGTGAAATCTGATTATATTAAGTTGCATTAGATAAGGCAAATGTTAAGTCCTATATTACGAATAACAAAACATGGGTCTCATCTAGTATAAAAACCAAATGTAATATTAAAAGGCACTTGTACATGATCAGTAGGAATAGCAGTGATCCTAATATAAAAAGTTATTACAAGGCATATTGCAAATCCTTGGCTCGTGATATTATAGCAACTAAACGTATTTATTATGATAAACGGATTATAAACTCTAATGATAGAGTCAAAAGTGCTTGGAATGTCGTTAAAACCTTGACTGGTAGGAAATCTCATTATGATATTTTGCCCATGTTTAACAATAATTTTAATAGATCTACGTCCAATTATAATAATATTTCTGAATCCTTCAATAGATATTTTCTATCTGTACCCGAATTAATTATCAATAATATTCAAAAGGATTGTAATCCAAATGAAAAAACAAATTTTTATGATTATTTAATTGATGCTTTTAATGTTACTTTTCCTAAAATTAATTTTAATCCTGCCACAGCTAATGAGCAAACATCATTAATAAATTGAAAATGACTAATTCGTATGGTTACGATGAGGTCCCTATCAAAATTTTAAAAAACAGTGTAGATTACATTTTATCCCCATTAACCCATATTGTAAATAGATCCTTATCAACTGGTATTTTTCCAGATCGTCTTAAATTCTCAGAAATAAAACCCATATATAAAAAGGGTAACAGGAATTGTATTAGTAATTATAGACCAATATCATTATTGACCTCCTTCTCAAAAATATTTGAGAAGGTAATCTATAGTAGACTTAGTAATCATTTGGTCAATAATAACATATTAGTAAACGAACAATTTGGATTTAGGCCAAATTCATCAACCGATAAAGCTACCTTCAAATTACTGAATCAGATAATCCAAGCCCTTAATGATGGGCATAGTGTGGGAGGATTATTTTGCGATCTGGAAAAAGCTTTCGATTGTGTTAACCATGGGATATTGTTATCTAAATTGGAATTTTATGGTATATCTGGCCCACTTCACAAATTAATAGCATCTTATTTGAATGGTAGGTTTCAAAGAATAAGATTACAATCAAAACATTCTAGCTCAAGTACTTATTCCAACTGGGGTGAAATTTCTCATGGAGTCCCCCAGGGTTCCATTCTTGGGCCCTTGCTTTTTCTAGTTTATATCAATGATCTTCCGTTAATCCTAAATAAGGTTTCCACCCCTATTCTCTTTGCGGATGATACCAGTGTAATTATCAAGGAATTTGACCCGTTTACTCTTCTAGACAGACTTAAGGAAGTCTCCAATATTTTAATTACATGGTTCAATGCAAACCTATTATCCCTAAATCTCTCGAAAACGCATTTTATTAAATTTATAGCCAAAAACATAGAGGAGCAGTGCAATTCCATCAGTATTAACAATGGAAATAAGAATATTTTGAGTACAAGATCTACTAAATTTCTGGGTATTAATATTGTAAATACTCTGTCATGGAAGAAACATATTGACCAACTACTTTCCAAACTCAACACTGCTTGCTTTACTATTAGAGCCTTGAAGCCATATGTTAATCAGGCAACATTAGTAACGGTGTACTATGCTTATTTTCATTCACTCATGAAATTTGGTATTGTATTTTGGGGTAATTCATCATATGCTATAAGTGTTTTTCGTGTACAGAAAAGAGTACTTAGAATAATCACAGGTACTGGTTACAGGAACTCTTGTAGGCAGCTATTCGTGACATTGAAAATTCTTCCTCTTCAGTCTCAGTATATTTACTCTTTATTATGCTTTGTGGTTGATAATATAAATTTATATCAGTTTACAACTGATATACATAGTAGAAATACAAGACATTGTTTTAATCTTAATTTTTATCAACCTATAGTTCATCTATCACTATACCTGAAGGGATCATACTGTATGGGTATCAGATTGTTTAATAGCTTACCCTTATATCTAAAGCAGTTGTTCACTAATTGTAAAGATTTTAAAATTGCTTTGAAGGATTTCTTGATTTCTCATTCATTTTATACTTTGGATGAATATTTTGAATGTTGCAGATCGAAGGATAGCATTTCCTTGTAGTAATTTATGTGGATGAGTACATATATGTCTGTGGTTTGTTGATTGTTACCTAAATTTGTGGTATTTTAAAAGTTATGATTGATATTATGTCAGTCTATTATAAATTTTGTATTTTAATTATGGTATTATTGCATGTGGCATAATCCTGTCTTGCTTGTTTTGTTTTGTATCTTGTAACACACATGTATGTATATGTATTTGACTTGTTTTATTATCCCTTGGCTTGTTAAAGCCAAGTGGGATTAATAACGTGAGTAAGTTATTCTTAATGTATGTTTATTTTTATTAGATTCTTTTACCTTACATTATTATTTATGTTTATTGATTGATGTATATGATTTTGATCTTGTATATGCATATTGATATCTGTATTCAAAGGACAATTTCCACATCCTGGTTTTTTAACTTGTAGGGATATATATGGAAAATAAATGGACAATGACAATGACAGTTAGACTGTAGGGAGTACTGCAGAGTGTATCCTCCCAGACCACAGGGGAAATTAAATTATGAGAGACCTGCAAATTTCACAAATGATAGAATTATAGAACAATGCAAAAGAAATTGGAAAGTGCCTGTTGACATGGTTTCAAAAACCGTTCCAAAATATGGATGGTGAGAAAAACGAGTTTGGGAAGGCATGAAGAAGTACACTTGGTCGTCGACTTAAGACCACAAAAAAAATGAAAAATAAAAGATGATTAAAATATAAAAGTTTTTAAAAATAAATTATAAACATTATAAAAAGATTAGAAAGGTTAAAAAATACTGTTAATAAATATGGCCGATATACGACCACATCGACTTATGACCTGTCAGTCAGAACGGAAGTCTGTTGTAAGTCTACCAAGTGTATAATGATTGTGTTCTTGTAATATCTGTAAGAGGTGTTGGAAGGCCTAACACTGAAAGGATGATGATGAAATTGTGATTTTATTAATTTCCATTTAATCATCACGAAAACCAAGGGACAGATTGTTTGAGCCAGAAACTACAAATATTTTTGAGAAATGTCTGGAGAAAATAGAATGAACATTCATTTCTTTTTTGAACACACATTTTGACATGGATCACTGTTACCTTCTTGTTACGTTCACTCCTGAGGTGCATTGTGCACCTCAGATGGTGAAGAGAAGCATTTGCTAGTCTAACTCTGTTCCTGGGAGCAAACAAAAAAAATTAGGAGGGGAATGAAAAATTAGTTACTCTAAGCATAATAAAAATAATAAAATGACTTCAGCTGCATTTCTCAAAGACTGTTGTGTTTTCAGTTGTTGTATTGGTGGCCGAAGATGGTTCACATAACAGTGTTTTAATATGCTGTAATATTATGTGTTATTAATGATTTGATTGGTTTGTATATTCAGATATACAAGTAGGTAAATTTATCTTCTTATTCACTTATTGAAAAACCGTTAGATGATATATTTCTCCAAAATGTTGGGCTCCATCTGAACTACATGACAATACTGCCCTGCAGACCATACACTTCATAGGCAATGCCATGAAAACCTCAAATCCAAGACTGATCTTTATTTTCATTTTGCTTGACACAGTTAAAGCAAGTGTCACATAACTTTGAAGAAGGCCAAGAGTAACCTTGAATTCGCAGAAGAAAAATTTGAGACAAAGGGATGGGCTTGAGGGTGTGAGAAGTGACAGGCGACCAGTTGTTACGTGACACTTGCTATAAAATACTTGATGTTTCTGATTATTTAGACTGATGTGATCGAGACAAACATCCGGGCCTATCAAAGAGGTAGAACTCATACTGAGGATTTCAAGATTAAGAAACTGAAATATCTGATTGCAAATCACTTCATGGAGAAATATGAGGTGAAGAAGTTGCCTGAATCAGAAGAAGTGGTTGGGAAAAGCAAGCTGGTGAGTGCACACTGTGGAAACCACTTGCTGTGCAACCCCATCAGAAAGAAGCTTGACATGTCTCGTCTTTCTTTGTAGAAAAAAACAGTGACGCTTAATATGGATCCTCGGGCTGAAGAAGGTTCTTTTGCAGACCGGCTTAAGAAATCAACATTACAGCCAGTGCAGCTGCTGAAGGTTCTGAGGGAGGAAGTGGAAAGTATGTCTGTCACATGGCCATTCCATGAGGATGTGCAGCATTTTGAGGTGGGTTCAATTTTTGTAAATTGTGGCAGGTATCAGTGTGATGGTACCCAAAGTTATTTCAGAGGGTTCAGTGTTCGCTGCATGTTCTCTTAAAAGACCTGAAATTTACCAGAAGTTTGGGAATATGGAGTGGCTCAAAATGAGTATGAATCTGTATGCCCATGTGTTAGAAATAATGGAGTCCGCATGAATCTGTTGTACCAAGAAATGAATTCCTTCATGTCATCAGATACTGTAGAGATCTAAAAGAGGCGTGTATCTCAGACAGAACTTCAAACGGACTGCAGTTTTGAAAACTGATGATATTTTTCAGAACCCCAGTATGGCTACCATTAATCTTGTGAATGTTATGACTCTATTTTCATTTTGATTGCATTTGAGACACTTTCATGACTGTTACAGTTCTGTGCCACAGGTCACTCACTTTATGTATGTATGTCCATGAAAGATTCCTGAAACTAATGTTTTCCAGCTCAGACGATTCAGGGCCTGAATAAAAAGTATCAAAAGTGAACCTGTGAAAGCTGAAGTATTGAATTTACATAGGTAGGAGATTATTGCTCTGTATAGCAGGCTGGTTCAATGTGTACATGTTTGTTTCATTGTTCTTGTTAGTGATTGAATTTCCTTCAAAATTAATACTTTTATGTTCTTTTGGTATGAGATGCTGCATAGTGTAGTTAGATACTGACACCTCAGTCTGACTTACAGCTTCCATCTTCTGAGCTGAAGATGGACACTGCACATTCTCGGGAACACCGAGGCTTATGTATCGGACTCAGTGGCTTCACATCACAACAGACCATGACTCAGACGCTTTAGTGACAAGCCTTCCCCCAAAGGGAACTTAAATTTTCTGCTATGAACATGGCATATTCTGAATTGCATAGAGCAACCACACATGAATATATTGATGTATTTTCCAAAACCAGATGTGTTTGTAAGCCATGCATATTATTCTCAGATATAATTCACAGATTTTGTGTCACCATAATGGTAATAAATCATGAGGTGTAACAGACAATTGTGAAATTTGGTATTAGACACTGTAACATAAAATTCCATGGACCTATGAATCATGTGCTATGTGTTTCAGTTCCCTCCATGTGTGGATGGATTCAAGCTGGAGATTGGTAAGCCTGTTAAGACCATCCAGAGCTCAAAGTTCTGTTTGGGTCGCCTACTTAGAATACGTAACCAAGTACGTGATTTAGCACGAAAGGCTTTTCACTTGAGCCAGATTTCACAGACTAACACACAGGGAACTCCCAGTCTTCAGAATGGCGTACCATGCAAGAGCAGTGTTGGGTCTCAACGTCTAGATCAAGAAAGTGAACTCTCCAAGAAAGTGAGGAAGAAATATCCTAAAAGCGAACTAACCATCTTGAATTACAAGGAGAAGCTGTGGACATCAATCGAAGGTGCAAATGAGGAAGCTGAGATACATGCATTTCTTCACATTATGGAGGCCATTGATGGAATGTGGAGAGATGATAACCTGCTGCTGCAGGGCTATCCCATGCTGACACAGTTCAATGTTGGGCTTGTATATATGCTGTGCCATTTGTTTAATGAGGTAAGTAGTGGGTACTTTGGTCTCACATGTGTAGGTCCTAGATCAGGGTTAATTATGAGGCCTCTGTGTTAACGTAACCCTGTGGTTGCAAGTAGAAGTAGCCATTTGTCACCTGGGACAGTATTGCTTTCTTTATCAGTATTCCAGGATATGGTAACTATAACTTAAAGAAGGACCAAACAACTGTATGCATCTCCCATAATGAAAAGTACTGTGCATCACATAGTCTGGTAGAAATTTGCCAGCATTTTGGAGGAACGTATTGCTTCCATCCAGAGTTGAAGATTAAGCCAAGCAAGCAAATAGCATATACTCATATTAGTTGCCATAACCTTCAGTTGCAATAGCCCCACATTCAGTATGTGATAGCAGGCATTCATAATAAATTATTTATTCTTGGAATGAATGAACGAACTATCAGGCAAGACCTCTGAAGACATAGCAGTTGTTAAGCTGTTATAGTTACATATGTGATGATAGCAGAAAACAGAATTTCTTGATATGAAGAATATAACAGAATCCCACACTTTTGTATGCATAGACCATGTCCCTGTATGGGAAGGATCACTGGTGGTTCCGATGTACACAGAGTGTAACTGAAAGGTGCGACAAACACGCCAAAACAGGACAAAATGTCCATATCGACATGTGTCCAGAAACATTTAATTTGAGAGAGTATTAGCTGAAAGAATACTGTACAGACACCAGCAGCAGATCAGCATCAATGTGTGGGCAGGGATTGTTGTTGATCGTTTGGTAGGCCAAGATGTTTTGCCACATCGGCTTACAGGCAGCCACTATCAAGATCTCCTCTTGCGTGATGTGCCAGAGCCACTGGAAGGTGTACCACTGGCAGTCAGAGCACAATTGTGGTACATGCATGATGGTGCTCTGGCACATTTTAGTCATCACACTGTGCAACATGTACTCAGTAACTCTGTTGTGACTGATGGATATGTAGAGGAGGACCCACTGCATGGTGTCCACATTTTCCACATTTGAATCATCTGGATTTTTACCTGTGGGGACACTTAAAACCCCTTGTGTATGCAGCTCATTTTGACAATGAGAAGAGAGACTTTACCATTGCATTGTGGATGCCAGTCAGACTATCTGCAGCTACCCCAGCATTTTCAAACAGATGCAGTGGTCCGTGATAAGATGTGTCGAGGCATGCATGCAGGACATTTTGAGCACTTACCATAAATGTACTCTTTTGGCTATAACTCACAAATTGAATGCTTCCAGACATACTGATACGGACATTTTTTTTTCCCTTTTTTTTGTAGTATGGGGAATTTGTGCCCAAATTTTTTCTGCACCTTTCCTTTGCAGCCTGTATATACAAGGTGTCCCAGAAAGGAAGGTCAGTATTCAGGGAGGTCATGGTATCAGCCATTCTAAGCAAAAAAGTGTATGTGTACATGTGTCCTAATCTGAGCAGTTTCCGAGATAGAGCTATTTCACTGTCCAGTCCCAAAATTGTTGTGATAAGAAAGAGATATTACATACTATTTCTAATACCAGTATTTATTGTTCAAGTGACAAAGTTGGTATAGTTTACCTAGTATAGTACATTTTCAAAAATTCCACTGTCAACATCAATGCACTTTGCAGCTCGTATGAGGACATGGTGTTTTGCTCATCTGAGTGCATCTTGACGTTCCTTTATGGGGGCAATAACATCTGTTATGTGATTGAACAGTTCTCATGTATCTGCTTTTCTTCTCTACACTTTACTCTTTGCCCAACCCCATAAACAAAAATCTAATGGGGTTATTTCTGGAGATCTTTGTTGCCATTTAATTGTTCTTCCATGACCAACCCACTGATTAGGCAAAGTTTCATTGAGATGTTGCATCACAAGTGGGTATACTGAGAAGGGGCTCCGTCATGCTGGAAGAACATCGCAATCCATGTAGCCAAAGGAACATGCTCTATTTCTGGTAATCCATTTTGCAGAAAGCCTAGTCAATTATCTCCTGTCATATGATTGTCTAAAATAATGGGACCAATCAACATAAACGACTGTACAGTGAAATAGCTTTGGCTTGGAAACCATTCGGTATGGGACACATATACTAGTACATATACACTTTTCTTGCTTAGAATGACCAATACTGTGACCTCCCAGAATACTGACCTTTCCTCCTGGGACATTCTGTATATGTAACCTTCATTCCATTCAGTTGCTAAAGTTTATTACTGTGTGTAAAATCACCAAACAGTCATGTACTGAAGGGGCTGGCAACTAGAGAAAACTTTTTCAGTGAAAGAATGCAGGATATTTAATTTTCCTTGCCGCATTTTGGATTTGTGAAATAACTGAATAAAAATTTCAAATTTTTGTGTTTCAGAACATAACACTTATGGAGTATTTAGATTGTGGTCTTCTTGGTTCACACCATTTAGTCTGGTAGTAGTTTCCCGGGTGAACGAACCTCTTGCCTCCATCTTCAAGGTGTAAGTGAAGGTGGAGGCAGCAGGTTCCCCAGAATTGTTAGTAAGCACGTAACAGAGCATGTGGTGCTATGACCAAGAAGGGCAGAAACTACATTCTCCTTTTCACCTCCATTCTTTCTTTTTGTACTTTCTGGTCTCATTTTTCTTCTTTCTCCTCCATTTTAGTCCCTCCTCCCTTCTGTTCATGGAAACTTAAGACATGAAGACATGCAAGGGTTTGCAGATTTGTGCTGTTACCCATGTTCTGAGTAAATAGGATGGCAACATACTACATGTGGCCATGCCATGGAGAGGACATTGCACAGTGCTGGGAGTTTGAGGATCTGTTTTATTGACCTTAATGGTAAATTCTATTCCTGTCACAGGTTTATTTTATGAAGCCGGTAAAACAAGACTTTGCAGTGGTATTCATCAAATTCCGCCAGTGGAACCCAGTCATGCGTAGGTTTCTGAATGAGGTAGACCACACCATTGAGAAGCTTCACAGAGAGGGCGGCAGTCAGACAGTTCTGTCTCTCATCCCAGTCAACAAGTTGTGTGGTGAGTGCCCACTGAGTAATGGCAGCGCGTATTGGTAACTGAGACGTTTTTTGTGGTGGTAGTGGTAAATGTTGTGGTGTTCTGTGATATGACATCATGTAGTCTGGTAGGGTTGTACCAACATTTCAGAGAACCATACTGCTTCCATCTTCAGGAATATCTGTAGCCCATTATTGCTGCAAAAACCAGAGTTTCAAATAAAAGGATTTTATAGATAAAAGTATTTAGAGGAATTGTTCCTTGACTGTGTGGTCCATGAATCTGCAGAGGGTACACGGAATGTTTGAAGAATTCATTGGTAAAAATTTTCAGTGACATATTTTCTTGTATGCGAGTAAACAGTTATGAAGTCTTAGTTGTATTGGTAATGGATTAGATCTCATGGATGTCAGAAAGAAGAACTTGGTTTGCTGGGGGAAAAATTCATATGAAGTAAGGTAAGAAAAAGCTTGAAGCAGCACAAAGCAATAGTCTGTTGTGAGTCAGTGATTGTATACTCCCTCCTTTGAAACCTGGAATTAAAAAAAAAAATGATTTGGGCCAGGAATAGGACATACCAACCCATTGGCTTGATACACAGAAGTTATCCAGGTCCTGAATGCTGCTCACTAGCCTGGGTACACATGAAAGAATTGATAATTTTATTGGTAATAAGTTTTGTGAACTGTTGTAGACAAAGGCTGCAGAACTATAATTTCCTGGTCAATCACGTTTTGTATAACTAGAAGATAATTGCTACTGTAACATGTCTTGTCTACTGAAGACGCCGTAGAGATTGTTAATTTGTTTATTCAACAACCTACAAGTAACGGCTACAGTTAATTATAACAATGTTGCGGGGTTTCACAATTTATAACCCTATTCGCAAATCAGTTCACTCTGTCTTCAATAGTCTACACGTATTCAGTACGGGAGCTATACAAGTGTCCCTGTCTCACACACTCCCAATTACACAATTACACACACGTCCGGTACTTCTTTCTGTGACGGCTGCTATATTCCAACTCAATTCGTAGGCTGCTGCCTTGAGAACCGTTGATCACACACTCCGGCGGCTGATTCACTTCAACTGTGTTCACTGCTGACTGGAGAACTGTCTTCGGCGCTGATACACTTTAACTCTCCCCGGGGACGGCTACAAGTTAACTTGTCTACAACTGAACTCGACGACTGTTCCAATTCTCTTATATATCCGCAGTGCTTGCCTGTTGCATAATGAGTGCCTTATCACAGTAGGAATTGGTGCCATGTCGCCGTGTTTGCGTATAGCCTAGCAACGCTGTTACCTCACGCCGTCTTACGTCACCGTGCGGTGGGGGGGGTGACGGAGCGCTGACTCACCCGCCACGTCACTGCTGGGGCGGGGGGTTCTCCGTTGCACAACATGTCACAATACAGTATTTAAAAAGTCACATCTGTCTCACAGAAAAGACTGCTGCTCCGTTACCAGTACTTGCTGGTTAATGCTGCTGAGGGAAATATTCGCTCCCTATTGTGAAAGTTCTGTGAAACACATATATGCTCTGGACAAAATGCAGAGTCTTTAATGTTAAAGTAGAGGGTACATGTAGTTTCCATTGGGTTGTAAAGGGCTAAAGGAAACTCAATTCAAGGACCTATGTGCAATAATGAGAGTCCCCCCAGACAGTTCACTTATCAGCTGACTCAAGATATATCTCTGTGCTAATGTTTCTGTCACTAGAGCACTGTAGCAGCCCTAGCAAGGCAGAAGTGGATTCCAGTGAACAGTCATGCAGCATGAGAGATGGTGATGGGTCAGCAGAGATACAGGAAGATTGTGATCGCATCTTCTACAAGTGTGTGACAGAGCTCAATCATCTGTGTGTGAAGGAGCAGGTTACTGACATCATTGCCAACATTCTGGAGCAGCACGAGGACAGCAGCATGTGATGGCCATGGAGCAGGTCACACACGTCACTTTGGTGAGTGGTAAGGAAAAAAGAATAACTTAATTTGTGATGGTATGGAAAAGACTGCAAACCATGTCTTGATTGATAGCAGTCTGATTTAAATCAGCATTCAGATAGAGAGATCTGTTGGTTCAGTTGTCTAATGTCTGGTGTGGGGTCTGGTCACCTCTGAAGTTTGCATATAACATGATCTCTTTTTTTATACTACACTACGTAATTACTACTGAAGCAGAATGAATGTCATTCAAGCGTGAAAACTCACTGCAAGAAGGAGGCTCTGATATGTCTGCATGTGTCCGGATTCTGTTATGTAAATTCAGGCATGTTGCAGGGTAAATGGGGAAAACATTTGAGAATACTTCCATAAGGGTAAGAAGGAAGTAGATTAAATTGTGTTTGAGAACAAGAGTGAGTTTAAGCTCTTATGTCCCTTTTACCATGTCCTATTAACAGTGATGTGCAAGAGTCTGAGAATTGTATCAATGTGACATTCTGTAATGTGGCATGGTTTGTGCAGTGTTTATGATGTAGCAGGTGACTCTTTTGTTCTCATCCCTTTCTATGCTGTTGGAAAGATTCCAGAATTTAATTTTCCATACAGGTGTACTGTCAGAAGCTTTCTGCCACCAGTGTACAAATCTTCTGCCATATTATGATTGTCCCATTGCTATTCAAATTCTTTGACAGTTCCTTTAATGGTTCATATATAGGAATAACAGATGACATGGCAGAAGTCTTTTATTTATCTATACCACAGTGTTCTCCTACCTGGTATGAATGAGGCAGGAAAGAAAAAGAATGATGAATGGTTAATGCAGTGGCAGTGCACTGGGTACAGTGGTAAGATATACCAAAATATATTTTTAAATTAAAGAGAAGTTTTAAGGAAATCTTGTAAACATGTTTGAGTTTGAAGCATGTGCAAGTGCAGTGTAACATTCAGCGAGGAGCCACCCATCTTAATTGATCTCTGTTTAATTTCAACAGGTCCTCCGTAGTTCTGGCAGAGGGTCCTGATATAAATCCTTTTGCCAGTAACAAGCAATTGTTAAATATGCTTCTGTGGTCACAGAAATCATGAATGGCATTTCAGAATTTTGTGAGCTATTTTTATGGTTTACTGTGAACAGTTTGAAAGAGGAGCTTTCACAGCTCTTTTATGTTTCCGTGAGGAGGAGGGGAAATGAGTGATGGCATCTGTAGAAGTATATAGTTGATTTTTACTATTGTTATTTGTAATGCCTCCTCACTTAAGTTTCTGATAATGTACTGATAGGCTGCTAATGCTAAACATACAAACGTTTTATGTTATGTCATTTGCAGAAATGTCTTTGTCAAAGAAACGACATGAGAAGCTGCATCTCCAGAAACATGCATGTTATTTTGACAGGCATTAATGTGCTATTCTCACTCATTGTTGATGATAAACCTTCATTAAGGTGAGAATGAAAAGTGTGATTGTTAGTTCCAGGGATTATTTACTTGAGGGCATGAGCCAAAGACAGTACTCAACAAATTTATTGTGGCTGTGTACTAAATAGTGAGAGTTGAAACTAAACATTTTTGTATGACTTGTAACAGGAAGGAAGTGTCTATACATTGTATGAAATGTAAGAAATTTATTTCACTTAGCAAATAGCAGTATCATATTTTATTATTTATATCTTACAATTTATGTATATTATTTACTTTCTACTTTATTTTTAATTTATGAATGATATATAATATAGAATATTTAGAGTATCTTAACACTTTAACTGCTGTGGAAGTTATTAGTGTCTGCTGCAAATTCTTTACCTCAAGCTGTGGTAGTCACTGGTGCCCAATTTATAATGCTTGGGTGTGTTTTCATCCCTCAGATTCATGTCCATTGGCTGTGTGCAATTCTTAAGGGAATGTGGCCACTGTGGCTTTTTGGTGCTGCAACATTCATTTGTGTTAATGGTAATTCACAGTAGTATAAAAACAATATATATTTTTTCACAGTTAACTGGTACAAAAATGTAAACAAGAAGTTCTGGGAAGAACTAATTGGCTGTTTTCCTTTCACCAGAATTTGAGTATTTGGCATGACAAGTAGAAAAAACTTTAGTAGGTATGCATAATAAAGTCAACAAAACCGTTTGTATTACTGGTGGGAGGAGTTTATGAAGTATGCTGTTGAGATAGCCCCAGGTGACATGATGTACATGCCAAGTTTCCTAAAGAATGGATCAGACGTTCAGAAGTTATTAGGGTGGAATACACATGCAAACATGCACAGCAAGGTGATCTCATGAGCCTACTTTTATTCTTTGAAAACTAAGCAAAGTAAGCTAAAAATCATGGCTGTTAACGAATCACAGACATCAATACTATAAGAAGCAAAGACTTTTGCAGGCATAAATATTGTCCATTCTCACTGTTCATCATCTTGATGGTTTGAGCTGACATTGGTTCCCCTGGTTGAACTTCCTGTATCTGGATGTTTATTTTTCCTTGCTATTCACCTGATCAAGAAATTCTTTGTTACTGGATCATCATCTCCACAAGAGCCTGTTATTAGACACTACATGAAACTTCTTCCAGTTGCAGAGAGCTTCCAGTACATCAGCTCATAGTGTGGTCTTTTGGGCTAATGTGCCATGTGCCATTTAGGTGCTTACCGTTGTTTCAGAGGACTGTGCTGCTGCCTTCACCTTCCACAGTGAAGATGGAGGCAGTATGCTTCTCTAAAATGTTGGTACCCGCCTATCAGACTGCATGAAACTGCATAGGACTACATATAATACAGAAGGTCACACCATGGATTTTCTCTACTGTGCAACCAAAAGTCTTATACTTCTGTGTGAAGTTTAATGTTTGAAGATCCGCTTTATAGAAAAATATTACAGTACTGTATTAATTGTGTAGTTTATCCCATGCTGTGACAACATACATATAGTTACTATACATATAATACATACATATAATCCAGTGATTATGTTTTGTATACAAAGCTACGTATAAAAATGTATAGTATCATGAATGATTGTTTCTTCAAGAACTTGATACTTTGATCATTGTTCATTTGTAAAGAAAACAAACTATGTACTTTTAGTTTATGGTCATGTAATTTCAAAATAAATTTTAAAATAACCAAATGGTGGCTCCAGTTTTACATAATTCACTGTCAGTTCTTTTTCATGGGGCATGTAAAATCCCATCCTTTCTCTTTCTAATGTCTTTATTCATGGTTTCATTCTTGTCTCTTCTCCTCTTAAACATTCCATATTTGGTTTTTCCATTGGACACACCCAGAAGAAATTTTGGAATCCTGTCCTTGATTCTTCTTAATACATGACCATTTGATCTTTCATACTTTCTGACTCATGTACCAAAGGTTTTATCTCTAGATGGTCTCCATTTTATAAAATTTCTTAGTCCTTGTTAATTTTTCCATCTCAGAAATTTCATTTGTACTGAATAATTTGTTCTGCATACCCCATGGTAATAGCCAGTATAGCAATAGGCTACAAGGTGGATAGCCTTGAAAGCGCCCTTAAAATTCGCAGCAGGAGGAAGAGTTTTCTTTTCTCCACAGCATCTAGATTGGCCCTGAGGTCCACCCAGCCTTCTGTACGATGTGTCCCGGGGGCTCTTTCCCTGGGGGTAAAGCAAGCAAGGTAAGAAACTGACCACTCACCTCCATCCAGTGCCGAGGCCAAGAGTGATGGAGCTATACCCCTACTCCTTGTTGGGCACAGTGAATTACTTACTCCATGTATGCCAAAAGACATGGCAAAGCCTGTAGGTGCAGTTTTACTGTTTTGTGTTGCAAACATGGAGAAAACACAAAAATATTGAACTTTGCAGGGTTGTATTGCATGGTAAGGAGGACTTTGGTTTGAATCTAGGCTAGGAGGTCAGTTTTTCTGGCATACTGAGCCCATTGCTCCAGCAGTAACACTAAACTCGTTTGGAGGTTCGTGGTTTGAAGCACCAGCAACAGCTACACTGACTGAGGGTATTTGTTATTTTCTGCAGTCTCTACAGGCAAATGCCAGTATAGTACCTTGATCAGGCCATGGCCTTTTTCATATCGTTTCAGATTCATCAGTCACCTTACCACCCAGTGCTCTATAGTACGAGTATAAATACTGACAAATGCAAAATAAACCATGAAAACTATTTTGGCATTGATAATTTATGGGTTTCTCAGTTCCTCCAGGCAAATATTGGAGCAGCACCTTAGAAAGTGCACTGTGATCTCACAACCCTCGTAATTTGCCTTTCATGATTGTGTGCTGTAGCTCATGCAAAACTCCACCTTGATAAAATTAACAGCAATAATGCTAAGAGTGATCATTTTATAGAATTTGATATTGATAAACATTGGAGTTATTTATCTCAGGCTCTTCCGACTGCTTTCCCTGAAATTAAACTTAAACCTACATCTACTAAAGAAATTGAAAACATAATTAAGTCATTAAAACCCAAAAATCTAACGGGTATGATGAAATTTCGGTCAATGTTCTAAAAATAGGGCACCTGCTATTATTTCTCCTTTAACCTATATCTGTAACAGAGTACTTTCAATGGGTGTTTTCCCCACTCGTTTGAAATACCATGAAATAATACCATTATTTAAAAATAGTGCTAAAACAAGTATGATGAATTATAGACCTACCTCTATATCGTTACTTACATCCTTTTCAAAAGTTATTGAAAAGGTTATATTTGTAAGATTGCTCCATCACATAAAGAATACTATATTGTCCAACTCGTGGTGGACATCAAAGAGTTGTAACTAATAAGAAGTGCACTCACTGAAGTTGGGATAAGATTGTCAATGGTGTTCCCCAGGGATCAATCTTAGGTTCCTTATTGTTCTTGTTATACATTAATGATCTGCCAAATATAAAGAGTAAATCAATACCTATTCTCTTCGTGGATGATACCAGTATTATTGTTAAGAACTTTAATCGTATTGAGTATGAAAACAAACTAAATTTAACATTCAAAAACATAAATGAATGGTTCAAGGCTAACTTACTGACATTAAATCTTGATAAAACGTATTTTATGCATTTCTCAACCAAGAATAGTAATGCAATGGACATACCTATCATTTATAGTAACAGTCGAATTGCTACAACCGCTGATATTAAGTTCCTTGGTCTGACGATTGATAATACCCTATCATGGAAAGGACACATTGACTGGCTCATGTCCAAACTGGGTTCAGCTTTCTATGCAGTTAGGGCTATTAACCCTATATGTCATTAGAATCAATGAGATCAGTATATTTTTCATATTTTAATATGACATATGGCCTGATTTTCTGGGGTAATTCACCCCTCTGCATTCGTATCTTTAGACTATAGAAGAGGGTAATAAGAATCATCACGAATTCTAGAAGTAGAGATTCTTGTAGGGAGTTGTTTAAGAGACTAAAGATTCTGCACCTTTACTCACAGTACATTTTTTCCATTTTGTTATTTGAGGTCAAAAACAAAGATCTATTTTTATCTGATTCTGAGATTCATACAATCAACACAAGACATAGTAATAACCTCCATTATCCCACGTGTAACTTAACTGTCTTTCAAAAGGGAACACATTATTTTGGAAAAAAAAAATTTAATAAACTTCCACCCAATATAAAAGACCAAGCTCATGAAATTAAAAAAATTAGGTCTGCTGTTAAAAAAATCCTATTTTAAAATTCATTTTATTCATTGGACGAATATTTTAACTGTGACAACAATTAAAGTTTCAGATTTGTTACAGGTGATAGATGATAGCGCTTTATTGTTATAGATGAGGGTATTTGTTCATGTTGTATCAGTGTTTCCCAACCTGGGGTCCGCGGACCCCTGGGTGTCCGTGGGATAGTTTATTTTCATTAAATTTTAGAGGCCCATGGTTGAAGTAAAATTTAACAGGACTGTTGGTACCGTAATGGTACCTTCCCTTTGTAAAGCAGAGGTGAATAACCAACGATTTGTGTAGCTTTTTCCAAGGACATTTTCTTTTGGTCGACCCACTGCATCTCAGACCCGTGTTTCAGGGTGGAATGTTGTCCTCCTTACCTGCTGTATGACCATTCTCCCCCTCCCCACCATATCCATCGCTCTTTTGTTGGGAATAAAGCTGGGACCATTGACCACGTTTCTTATTCATTTCAGTGGCAGAGTGAACAACCTGTGTGTCTTTAGTTTTTATGCAGTGGATTTTTATATTATACAAGTGTGTTTTTCTCGGTTTAATATTCAGTTTTTCTGCTCTTGTTCAAATAATTGAGTTCACAGCGAAACGTCTGATTTTCAGTTTGTTCACGATCTTATTTAGATATGGATCGGTGGTTAAAGTGTGGATCGTTGGTTAGGTGAGTGTTGTTGTATTCCGCACCTGGAATCGATGTCGTATCCCAGTAGCAAGACAGGTTGGCTAGGGCAAGCGGTTCCCTCGGGAGTCAATACGTGGTAGCTTCAAGCAACAGCAGAGGTAGAGCTAGGTGGTTTAATGTACAACTATTAAAATGCAATTCTTACAGGAAAATGTACAGTTAAGACAACAGTCTTACACACTGCCTGAGCCTGGGCAGCCACCGACTTCCTCTATCAGACAATCAGACCTGACGGATCGTAGACTGTCGTGATCGAAAAAGCATCTCGTAACGCCCAATCGGGGGTATATATTCCTTCCTCCTTAATTCTCTAATAACGTCATACATTACATCAGCTTAAACTTACATTGCATCAGCTTAAAACTTCAAGTACATTCTCTTGCTTACAGTATGTGCGTCCCTCCTGGACTTTGATTGAACTTGACAAAATTTATGAGGTTGGAGAATGCATGATTGTCATTGTCTTCTGGTTGAAAACAAGTACATTTTGGTATGATAATACGGGTGAGAGGTCGAGTTACAATCTTTTAATATTTCGTCATATTATAGTCTCTTCCTCTCTTCATGTACTTAAAGTAGTTATTTTAATTGTGCACCTTCCTTCATTTAAGCATCTCACTTGCAATAATCCCTATTAAGTCAGTTACCTTATACAGCAGCTCACTACGAACTAGGTGTTCCATATATACATATTAATATACCCAAGTTTATACCAGGTATTCCCATATACAACTCTGGTATAATACACATGCAACATTTATACCAGGTATTCCCATATACAACTCTGGCATAACACATATACATATATACAACAGTGTTAAATTCATAATACATGTATTACGCCTAATTGATATGTTCGTGATCTTCCGAATAAGCTCCATTTATTGCAGTATTTTATTGCCATAAATGACACATTAGTGTTGTAAAATTGTAAGTTACTGCTTCACTTTTATGATATGTAAAATATAAAATATTTCCATTTTGGGTTTTATGGGAGCCGTGGTCAATTAACATTCGGTACAGGGGGTCCTCGGCATCAAAAAGGTTGGGAAACACTGTTGTATATTGTTAATACTTTTAACTGGTATGACATTACACAATTGTGTGTAGTATGTGATCATGTTTACTCATGTTGACTATTTCTATATCCATTGGTGTTTAACTATGTAAGGATTTATGGTGTGGGAACATCCCACATTATCACACATTTCTGCAACGCTCGCTCTTCACATCACTTTTCACCATCACGCGTGCTAACCAATCAGATTCAGGTCAGGTCAGGTCATGTTACAACTGACGGTCAGCCAGTCTGTCGGTCTTGGTGTCGAGCCCCAGCTGGGGCTCATGACCAGATATTTCTTTTCAATGAAAGTTACTGTCCTGTCTATGTGTAGCGCCCTCTCTGACGAGAGGTCGGGTCTGTCATCTGTCAGTCAGTCTGTGTTAAGTCTATTGTCTGTATTTACATACATTTACAAATACACACTTAATCCTTACTTCTTTGTACAATATATACACAGCCTCTGTCAGTCCAGGCTAGGTACAGCGGATTATGCCCTTTCATATATATACATATATATCCTAGTAGTATTAGCTACCACGGCAGTCTAGTCACTTGAACGGTCGTATGCCTGACCGCCGCCAAGTTTAAGCCTCTTATACTTTCTGTGTCGGGCTTCGCCTTGTCCGATGTTGCGAACATTCTCATTATCATGATTTTGTATGACTTCTGCTTGTTGCCTGCATAATTTTGTTATGTAATCATATACGTACGGGATTTTGAATGCCATGTGCAAATCGCGGACCGGTGTGCGCCTTGGAAAATTGCCAATCGTGCGGAGAACCTTGTTTTGCAGGCGCTGCAATTTCACTAGATGAGTGTCTGCCGCAAACTCCCAGGCGGGACTAGCATAAGTCATTACGGATCTAATAAGAGCTTTATGGAGGGTCAGTTTAATGTTAGCGCTCAATCGCTCACTTTTGAATAGGGAATACACTCTAATGAATGTTCTGAAGGCCTTGGCTTCGATCATTTCTATGTGTAATCTCCAAGTCACTCTCTTATCGAAGATTACACCTAGATATTTTGCACTATTTACAAATGGAATGTTTCTTCCATTTAGAGTAAGACAAGACTCAGGCGGTCGACGACCACGAGAGAAGTAGACCCCCCGAGTCTTATCTTCATTAATTTTTATATTCCAGCGCTCACACCAGGTCTCCATTGAGCTGAGACCGCGCTGGAGTTTTCTAACAATAAAACCCTCTTTGCGATCTGTCGCATACAGACAGGTGTCGTCTGCAAAGAGGGCCAGGTGAACGCCCTGTGTATGGGGGGCATCATTTATATACAAATTAAAGAGAGTAGGGGAAAGAACAGAACCTTGTGGCACCCCTGCTTGCATTTCCCTTGGCGTTGACATTTCGCCTTCAACAGAGACCCTGAATTTACGTTTAGAGAGAAAGGACCCAATAAGCTTGGTCAAAGAGTTGGGGAATTCCAATTTTGATAATTTAAACAGCAAGCCTGAGTGCCACGTGGTATCAAAGGCTTTTTCGATGTCCAAGAACACTGCAGCCGTAGACATTTTATTGTTGAAATTAAGGGTCACGTGATCCGCCAGCCTCATACATTGCAATGTCGTGCTGTGACGTGCACGAAAACCAAACTGACTTGCGTTGAGCAGGTCTCTTTCTTCAATATGTTTATGGAGGAATTTCAAAATTGCTTTTTCGAATAGTTTTCCTGTCGTGGACAGGAGGCTGATCGGACGTAAATTTTGAGGAAATTTCGGGTCTTTACCCGGTTTAGGTAAAGTTATTATTTTTGCTTCCTTCCAAGTATTTGGAAAGTGAGAGAGCCGAAAACAGTGATTGAATAAGTGAGTTAGGTGAACCAATGGTCTCCTTGGAAGGTGCCTGAGGCATTCATTTGGGATGCCGTCAATTCCACAGGCCTTTTTTAATTTCAGGGATTTTATTAATTTCTGAACGTCACATGGTCTGATCCTTAGAGGGGGGTTTTCATCCACGGCTTCCAGCAGAGCTTGAACTCTAGCCTCCACCCGCTGTTCATGGTTTTCGTCGCACAGGTCATGTGGCGTGAATTGAGTTTCCAAACAGTCGGCAATTTCATTGGCTTTTTCAGAAGGATGAAATTTTAGGCCAGAAGAACCATGAATAGCAGTTGGTGCCCTTGGTCCGTCTCTCTTAAGGAGAGATTTCGCAATGGGCCATATACACTGAGGTGTGACTTCAGCGTTGCTTATTTTTGTTTCCCACCGTTCAAGTGCCTTTTTACGGGTCATTCGCCTGATTGATTTGGTGACCCAATTGACTGCCGTTTTACACGCTGGATCCCTGGTTTCTTGCCACAGTTTTCGTAGCCTCTGTTTATATTTTATCAAACGATCTAGACCAGGAAGATCGTTGTTTATGTCCGAAAGTGTAACTTTACTTGTCGACAGCCTATATGCCGAAGCAATAGAGGCTGCAAAGTCGCGTGCCGCTTTATCGGCTTCTACCCCCGAATTTATTTCTAGTTTAGGTGATATTAGTTCAGAAGCGAGGCTTTGAAACCGCTCCCAATCTGTAAATTTTTCAATGGGTTCCGAAAGGTTGCTAATTTTAACGTGATCCAGTATGTGAAATACTATTGGTAGGTGATCTGAATCCAAAATATCAGAGACGACGACCTCTGACATTCTGATATTTTTGTGAACCACAATGTCTAGCACGTCACCATTTCCCGCAGGGGAATAGTGAGTGGGGCACTGTGGAGCTGAGATTTCGAAATCGCCCATATCAAATAAATCCATAAGTTTCAAACCTGAGGGGTTTGAAACTCTACTATTCCAAAATGGGTTCTTAGCATTCAAATCACCTGCCAAAATAGACTTTCGTCTGAAGCTTAAGAGCTCAGTGATGTCAGCATCACTCCAGGCTTTGCCTGGAGATTTATAAACAGCTGCAAGCAGCACTTCGCTATTACCAATTGGTATGCAGACCCCTGTCGCTTCTACTGAAACAAGGGGTGGTAGGTCTACATGGTTGTGGGGAATGCCTTTTCTTACTGCAACGGCAGTTCCGCCATTTCTCCCGGACTGGCGGTCGATTCTATAAAAGTAGTAATTTGGAATAAAGAACCTCTCGTGAGGTTTCAGATGTGTCTCTGAAAACAGGGCCACATCTACGTGTAGGTCTTGCAGCTGTTTACTGAGCTCATAGCGCTGCCTCCCAATGCCATTCGCATTAAATGCTATGACTTTGAGGGGCCTATGTACTCTAGTGGCCATTTTGTTTCATTAGGCTTAAAACAATTTTGGTAATGGCCATTATTTTTTCCTCTTCGGACACTGCACCACTGACCTCTGTCATAATCTGCTGTACTACAGTCACTACTCTCAACATATTGTCGAGAGATGGACTGTTTACATGACTAGCCTGAGTTGACTGACCTGTTTTTGGTTCCTGTACAAAGACCGGGATGCTCGGTTTCGTGGCTTTTGGTGGGACTGCCACTGGAACTTGGAGAGTCTGAGGTCGCTGCTCCTGCGATGTGCTGCCACGGAGCGCTGCCGCGAAGGAGACTCCAGGGCTAACGATATTCGAGGAGAACACCCTTCCCGTCGTAGTTTTGGGTGCTCTCTGCGATTTCCTCCTCTGCAGTTCCTCCCTCGCGTGTCTGCAGCCCCGGTAGTTGGCGGGATGTGGCTTCTCTCCTTCTTTCAATTCACAATTGCAGCATGCTGGAGTGGAGGCAGCGTTCTGCTTCTCAGGACATTCTTTGTGCAGGTGGCCACCCCCGCACCACATGCAACGTGGAGGTTGTTTGCAATTGGCCCAGACGTGGCCAAACTGTTGGCAGTTGTGACACTGCGTAAGGCCACTCTGTGCTCTATATGCCTCAACCCGAATGGAAATGTGGCAAAGGCTTTGAAGATGGAAAATTTCTTGAGATTTCGCCGTCCGGGTTAGGGTGATAAGGAAGAGCGGGAGGTTTCTTGCTATCCTTTCGTCTGAAGGCGACCCGCGGGTGGTTGTCATCTGCTTCACGCTGACGACATCAAATCCCAGGGTCACCAGTCCATCAGATATATCCTCCGCAGGGGTATTGTGAGGGAGGTGACGGATTACGGCTTTTATGGGTTTTAGGGACTTGGGAAAGAAGGTAAAATATGAAAGACTGTTGTTAGATAGATGGGACTTGACGGCTTCGAAATCCGCCATGTTCTTGGTGAGGACTCTGGTCCCGTTTCTGGTACTGCGGAACTCAAAGTCGCCTTTGACAACATTTTTCAGTTGCTTCTGCAATTGAATTAGGTTTACAGTGGACGTGAGGATTATTGGGGGGGGCCTGCCTGCTTTGCCTGAGGTTTCCTCCTCCAGCGCAGTGGCTTCTACAACAGAAGTTTCAGTTTCCATAGTTGCCTCCCTGAGGGGGGCGAAGTAGTTTTTGGTGGCAACCTCTGGCTTAGTGTTGCTTCCGACTGCTGCAGTTGGTTTTTTCGGAGTCGGTGCGGTTTCAGCGGTACTTTGTCGTTTCCGCCTACGGACTTCTTTGAAGCCTTCCTCCCCGGCTGGAATATTTTTGCCTGATGTACTGGCCTTTATCAGTGATTTCAGCTCATTTAGCGTGACTGTATAGTTGCCATAGAGCGCACTGAACAGCGTCTTGCCGGAGAGGGACTTACAGTAATTTATCCTATTTTCATCGGCGGTGCTGACTATTGCCGCCCATTCTGCACTTTCTCCAATTGCAGCAGTTGTGAAACCGGCCACGTCCTCAATGCTGCACAAGATGTCGAATAAGCGCCTGTACTGGGTTTCGGCCTCGGGGTATTGTCGTATGATTTCTTTACATTCGGCCTGAAGAGCGGCACGTTTTTCGGCCCAGAATGCCTGGTACCCCGGCACAGGGACGCCAGCCATTACTGGCTGGACACTTACAGATTAAACACCCGGCCGAGTACTGACGTATAGAACAAATATTGAGACACAACTCACTGCCCGCACTGAATTCACAATGTTGTCCAGACACAAGAATTCAGTCCAAATTTCTCATCCAATATCGAGTTTTGTCGAACAGACTTACTCCTTACTGAATGGTCAATCCCTATGAACTCGACGAATCAATCGAATCTTGATGAATCCCCGAATCTCACCACGAATCACTGAGAATGAATGAATAATCAATCGAATCGAATCTTCTATCCACCAATCAGATTGCTTCAAACGATCGCATTTATACTACGCTCGGCGCTAGCCCGCGTCTACACCATTACGCGCGCTAGCCAATCAATTCTTCCTCCTCACTTTCGAGTTTGGCTCCGCCCCATCGACCAGCGTATAAAAAGGGAGCGACTTCAGAGCCGAGTTATGAATTCGATTCGGATTTGGATTGATTGGATTGGAATTCAGGGGGATTCCATTCGGAGATTCATTCATAGTGGACGTGGAGTTGAGGAGTTCGATTCGGA